TTCCCAGAAGTGTTCACTGGAAGAGTGCTCACAATCACGGTGAAGGTCATGTTTTGTACTATTGTGACTTACTCATGTCTTGCCTTCAATCACTGGGCTTTAGCCAGTTCCAATAAATGTTTCAAAATTTCAGTGATTTACGTAAGCTAAAAGCTTGTAATCCTTCACTGTGAAACTATAAACAACACCCTATCTAATGACAAATGTGATTATTCTCTATGTAGACTTCTCATTTCCATTCAGATACAACCTATAATCCATTCAGCATAGTAAGCATCTGAAACCTAAGGTTTTGCTTTTTAAACTAAAATTAGACTAATAAATTTGAAGTACTCATAGTTATCTGGTTTTCAGATGCTAATATCATGTATATGAGGTTAAATAAGACTTTTACAAGTCTGAATATTAGCTAAATATCTCTAGATGCAACATTACCTAGAGTCTAATTTCCTAACAAAGAAACTAATAAGGGCTGGGATGTAGCTCGGTCGTTCAGCACTTGCCTAGCACGCGTGAGGCCCTGGGTTCGATCCCAGCACCAAAAAAGAAAAGACAAAAAAAAAAAAAAAAGAAAACTAATAAATGCCTGGTGGGCTCCACCAGCTAATGGAAGAAGCAAAGGCTGTGAGCCAGTCTTTCCTAACGGAGCTCTTGGCCTATAAAAAAGCTAGGAGGCGTTTCACAGGATTTGGGCCGTGTATGTGTTGTATTGTTCTTACTGTTAAAAGGCCTTCAAGCCCACATTGCCAGTTTATTTTTTTAAACACTTCTTTTAAAAGTTTTCTATTACTTTGGTTTTGTTTTTTCCATTTTTCATGAGTTTCAGAGCAGACTTTGATTGCCACAGAATATGGTCAAGTGGATTAACTGTTAGGTATGCTAGAACTTTTCTTTCCAGGGTAGATCAGCCCCGATGAAGTAAGTGGCACTGACATTGAGTCTCCTTTGGCAAGTGAACTCTGATACACAATTATAAGCTTTGTTTCTTGTTTCTGATAAATATTTAATATACTGATGGCGCCTTTGTTGAGCACCGCTATGATCTTAGCTGGCTATCATTTTTCATGGGCATTTTATTCCCTGCAGTCCAACATGACTTGTAATTGTGGCTTTTTAAAGTGTACTCTCGTTTAATTTTAACTTGTACAGTGTGATTAAAATTCATGGCACTTTTAGACATTGTCTTATTTGATTCTGGTAATAGCCTTGTGAGATATTTAAGGCAAGTATTGTTATTTGATTTTATGATCTTCACAATGTTTGAGTGACTTATCCAAGGTCACATAGCCAACAAGTAGAAGAGTGGGGTCAGGAAACTGGTTTTCTCTGACTCATAGTCCAGTGTTCTTGATGCTGCACAGCTCTGTTCACACGATTGAATAGCTGGTTCTTCTATTCCTGCTAAAGGTCTTTGATGTTGAAACAGCTTTCCTCAATCAGTATCTGCAGGATTCAGTCTGACTGTCATATAGTGACCAGTGTGCTAAACACACCCTCGGTGTTTAGGATCACATTGCTGCCAGTAGTCAGCCAGAAAACCAAAGTATAGCCTGCCTTTTGAGGTCTGAGAGAATTCAGAAGCATTTGTCTTGTTCCAGCATTAATCTTCAATCCCAGGAAAGTGTACATGCTAGCTCTTGGTATTCACTTCACGAGGTGCACAACCATTTAGTACTTGGCAGTCTGTGCAGATAGGATGCCCAGAAGTAATTTAGCAAGAGTTACTTAATAAAGACAAAAGCCACTTAGTTCTGTGAAAATGCTGGTGCAATGCTTGGCTTGTGCTGTGCTCAGCTCATACTGCCAGCTGTCCATCTCTGTTCCTCTCCCCCTTCCTTACCTGCAGAGACGATGACTATGTTTGCCTGAAATTTGAGATTTATATTGTGACCAAGGTCATAAAAATCTTAAGTGAACTAGAGCTTTGAAAGTGGTCTCCTTGCACACAGTCATTGGTATGCAATGTTTACTTTTCATATGATAAATATCTGAGTATTTGAAAGCTTTTAAAATTCACTTTTAGGAGACTGAAGGTGTGGCTCAAGTGTTAGCACACTTGCCTAGCAAGCATGAAGCCCTGAGTTCAATCCCCAGTACCACCAAAAAAAATTCATTTTAGGTTAGCCAATCTTTCTTTCTTTTTCTTGTTTTGTGGCAGCAATGAGGTTTGAACTCAGGGCCTAGCTTGCAAGCTAGTGCTCTACCACTTGTGCCATGCCTCCAGCCCTTTTGCTTTAGATCTTTTGCCTGGAGCCACCTCAGATCTTGATCCTCCTACCCATGGCCTCCTCGTAGGTGGGATTATAGATATGAACCATCACACCTGCCTGTGTCTTGGGTAGCATAATATTTAAAGTGTCTTTGCCTTTCTCTAAGCTCTGATTTGACTAAACAATAATGAGGTTTTTTTCCCCTTGACTGGTTTTGCTTACAGTTACCATTAGGATTGTACTTTTACCACAAGAGCACGTGTTTGCTCTGCCCTACCTGTAAAACAGTAGAAAACTCTCATGTCGATTGGTTTCCTTTGTGTGCTTTTTCTGTTTGCTTAAATCCTGATCTGACCACTTGGTTTCTTTATGTACCATTCCCTGGACTCCTTCCAATATTTGTCACCCATGTGGAATTTATGATCATTACATAAGCTAGTTTATCTTTTTCTCTTTGAAATTTAATCTTACCTAAACTTGAATAGCCTTAAAAAATCTAAGTAGTGAGTTTATAGCTTTTTTTTTTAAAAAAAATAAATCTTCCTTATCAAAAAGAATCACACCCTCATTTCAAAACTTTAGAATTCTAGAAATTAACTTATTAGAATGGAAACAACGTTATTTAAAACATTATTTCAAAACTTGAGAGTTATATTATAACTATTACAGGAACTCCTTTCAGTGGTTAAAACTTTTCTTAAAAAAACAACAACAAAACTTTGGGTTGAACATGGTGGTTCACACCTATGATCCCAGCTACAAAGGAGGCAGAGATTAGGAGGATCACAGTTCTAGGCCAGCCTGGGCAAAGACTTGAGTCTATCCAAAAAAGAACTAAAGCAGAAAAGGTAGGGTTGGTGGCTAAAGTGGTAGAGTGGCTGCCTAGCAGGTACAAAGCCCTTAGTTAAAATGCTAGGTCTGCCAAAAAAAAAAAAAAAAGGAAAAAAGTAAATAAATAAATAATCTTTGGAGGAACAAATAATTATTACTTAATTATTACTGCATTCTATTTAAAAACAAAGATAATTCCAAAGAAACTGTGAAGCAACATTTCTCTTATTGTCTGGTGACTCTAGAGCTTATTTGGAAACCAGATTTAGACCTGGTTTTACAATGTGGAAATTTGCCCCTTTCCTCTGAGTTTATTTGTGATGGTGTGTGATTGAGTGTGACGACAGCCCCTGTGCTGTCTAGGGAGTGTGTGAGTTGTATGTGTGTAGGTGAGTGTGTGTTCACTTTTTGGAAGCAGGAGGTGGAATTCAAGGAGAAAGAAACAAATTATTTTCATTTGATCCTTTTTCTCTTCATGCTTGTTTAACTGACCTTATGGGAAAATGGTTACTTTATGTTTAGACTTTAGGCTATTGTGATTTTCCCTAAAATATTTTCACTTGCCATATGCTGTGCTAGGATAGGACACTGACTACCACTTTGCTTGAGGTGACATCACAGTAGAAGCAGCAGTGACCACTGCCTCTCGTGGGACACAGCTTGAGCTCAGTCAGCCAGTCGACCCTCTGTGCCTGTCTGATGTGCTTAAGTGTCAACTGCCGACTCCTGTCTCACAGCATTGTCAAAGCTAGTAATCATCTGCATGTAACTTTTTGGGCCTGTATCTTCTTAGTCCATGGGGGGAGAAATGTAAATAACATTTCTAAATACCTAAGCTGGAAAGAGAAGAGGGGAAAATTAATTTGTAGAATCAACCTTTCTATTTTTGGTAAAACAACAACAGAACAGCTTGGAAATGTGTGTGAATGTGAGAGATAGAAACAGGGAATTATTGCTAAGTCTAGTTTACTACAAGTTTATAATTCTCAAGTTGCTTTATAAGTAAATATTAGTTTATATGAAAACAGTCTTTAAGAAGCTACAAAAGAATGGAATCAGTCTAACAGTGGCATTCTTGTTCATGTGGATCAATGTTTGTGAAAGGTCTTTGAGAATGTTAGCAGGGAACAAGGAGCTGTTTGGTCATAACAAAAATTGTACTTCTTTGTGGGCTTGGCTTTGTGTTTTGGGGCAAATGCTCTGCCACAGAGCTGCACCCCCAGCCCTGTAATAGAGTTCTAGAAAGCTAAAAGTAATGCCTTAAAAATATGAAATTGGAATTAGAATATTAAAAAAAACTACATAAGGAAAGGCTAGTAATAAGGTAGGAAATAGAACTACTGGACATGAAAACATCCTATAAAGTCACAATACTGAAGTGGTTGGTTGGGTTAGATGGGTAGATCATTGGGAAAAATAAAAACCAACAGAAATGTTGTTACTCACACAAAACTTCACCTGTGTTCAAGAAGGTACTGTTAAACAATGGGTAGGAATAACCAGTGAGTAATTCTGAGGAAATTTGCATTTAGATTCACATCTCTGCCAAATATAACCAAATTAACTTTATATGAACTTGAGCTACATATGCACAATTACATCACTGATAATCTAGAAGACAGACCTGGTGCTGTGATGGCAGTGCCTGCAGTCCCAGCTATTTGGAGGCTGAGGCAGGAGGCTTATGTGAGTCCAGGAGCTGGAGGTCAGCCTGGGCAGCCTAAGGAAATCCTGTCTCAAAGAAAGAAAAGAAAATGTAGAAGTCTGAGTACTTTATAATTTCTCTTGAATCTCTAAGAAACTAGAAAAGGAAGACACAAAGAATTTTTTATTGAAACTGAGCCCCATTCACAAGAGTGAGTTAGTCCCCTTTTCCTTTCAGAGCAGCTGGAAACCTCTTGTTGTCCAGATTAGTAATGGAACACACATGCGTTCTTTACCTGAAATTTCATCTTACAGGTGCATCGAGAATTACACGGGGGCTCGCTGTGAAGAAGTTTTCCTCCCACGCTCCAGCATCCACAGCAAGAACAACCTGTCTGCAGCTTTCCTAGCCTTGGCTGTTCTAGTAACACTCACCATTGCAGCCTCTACTTCCTGTGCAGGTAACCCCATGAAACAAGAGCAATGCAAAACATAGTGTTCTGCAATAATTACCATGCTCTTTGCTTCTAGATGTTTGTTTAGACACTGTTTTGTGTTTAGCATTCTCACTCTGATGTGGTTTTGTAAGGTACTGTGGAATAAAGACCAAAGAAAGATTTATTGGAACCAGACTGCAGGTCTGTCACTCTTTTTGGGTTCAGAGTGGAGCAGCTTGGCTGAAATGGGTAGTGGGCTTTATGAGGAGGGCCAAGCCATGGGGAGAGGAGAGAGTCTCTGGTCTCTGATTATCTGTGATCACCAGATGGAACAGGTTGACATGCCTGGCTAGTTGAGAAACTGGAAATTCCTGAGGTTTTGTAAGCAGAGAAACAAGCAGGGAAGTTTGGCAAGCGGTCATAAATCAGGGGGTCCGGTTTCGTTGTTAGCCTCGGGACCTTCCACCTGCTCGAAGAATGCCAGTGACCTAACAGTTTTGTTATTAAACTACTAAGTCCTTTTCAAAGTATCTTCATAAGCCAGTCTCAATTTGTTGTTTGTTACTGTCATCCTTATTTAGCTAGATGTCTTTAGACTACCAAAGGCAGATTCATATTCACTGCAGTAATCATGCCAAAACAACCAAATATCTGGATGAGGCCTATGAGTGTGAAAGAAAATACCGTAAATAAGTTTTTAAGACCATGGTTATATACTCTGTTGAGTGCCATATATTGCTACACAGTGTGCAAACAGAGATACTTTGACTATTTCTTTACTATTTGTATTCCTTTATTTCTTCTTCTTGCCTTATTGCTCTGGCTAGGAATTCCAGTACTATGTTGAATAGGAGTGGAGAGTGGGCATCTTTGTCTCATTGCTGACTTTAGGGAATTAGTTTCAGTTTTCCCCATTAAATATGATGTGGCTATAGGTTTGTCATATACAGGCTTTACAATGTAGCAGTACATTCCTTCTATTCTAGTTTTTTTTAGAGTTTTTATTATGAACTGGTGCTGAATCTTATCAAAGGCTTTTTCTGCATCTATTCAGATGATCAAGTCATTTTTTCTTTGCTTCTATTAATGTGCTGTATTACATTTATAGATTTGTGTATGTTGAACCACCCCTGCATCCCTGGTATACAGCTGACCTTGGTCGTGGTGAATGATCTTTCTGATAGGTTGTTGGATTCGGTTTGCCATTATTTTATTGAGTATTTTGCATTAATGTTCATTAAGAGATTGGCCTGTAGTTCTCCTTTTGGATGGGTCCTTGTCTGGTTTTGGGATGAGTTAGATGAGTTAGTTAACTGGCTTCATAGAATGAGTTAGGCAGTGTTCCTCCCCTTTTTATTTGTGGAAAGTTTAAGGAGAGTTGGTATTAGTTCTTCTTTAAAGGTCTGGTAGAATTCAGCTGAGAATCCATCAGGTCCTGGACTTCTTTTTTTGGAGACTCTTTATTGCTGCTTCAATTCATTACATGTTATAGATCTGTTTAGGTGGTTAATATCCTCTTGTTTCAGTTTTGGATGGTCATACATAACTAGAAATTTGTTCATTTCTTTAAGATTTTCAAGTTTATTGGAATATAGGTTCTCAAAGTAATCTCTGATTGATTTCCTGGATTCCTTAGTGTTTGTTGTTATCTCTACTTTTTTATTTCTGATTTTACTCATTTGGTATTTTCCTTCCTCATTTTGGTTAGATTTACCAGGGGCTTGTCATTTTGTTTATTTTTTTCAAAGACCCAGCTCTCATTTTGTTGATTCTTTTATGGTTTTTTGGTCTCCGTTTCATTAATTTTGGCCCTTATTTTTTATTATTTCTCTCCTTCTGCTTGTTTGGGGTTTTGCTTATTCTTGTTTTTCTAAAGAAGTTTGAGATGTAAATTAGGTTGTTTATTTGAGATCTTTCTGTCACTCTTAATATGCACTCATGGCTATAAAACTTTCATCTTAGGACCGCCTTGCTGTGTGTCCCATATGTTGCTGGTAGGTGATATTTTCATTTTCATTCCTTCCAGGAACCTTTTGATTCATTTTTCCTATGACCACTGATCACTGAGCAATGTGCTTATTCAGCCTCTAAGTTTTTGTGTATTTTCGGCTGTTGCTTTTTGTTGTTGACTTCTAGTTTTCATTGCCTTTTGAGCAGATATAATGCAAGGCTATTCATTTTTTTTTTTATATTTGCTGAGACTTCTTTGGTGCCCTAAGATGTGATCTATTTTAGGGAAAGTTCCAGGGGTGCTGAGAAGAATTTATATTTGTGCTGTTGTTGGATGAAATAATCTGTAGACAATCAGTTAGACCATTTGGTTTATGGTGTCATTTAGTAATGCAATTCTTTGTTGATTTTTTTGTTTGGATGACCTATCTACTGGTGATACAGGGGTATAAGTCTTCTACTAACCACTGTGTTGAATCTATGTGTGGTTTTATGTCCTTTAGTGGTATGTTTGATGAAATTGGGTACACTGATGTTGGGTTCATATAGGTATAATTGTATTTCCTTTTGTGTATTTCCCCTTTTATTAGTATGAAGTGTCCTTCTTATCTCCATTTGATCAATGTAAGTTTGAAGTCTAACTTTATCTGAGATAAGTATTGCTACTCCTCCTGTTTTCAGGGCCATTGGCTTGGTAAATCTTCTTCCAGCCTTTCACCCTAGCCAGTGCTTGTTTCTGTCAATGAGATGGGTCTCCTGTAAGCAACAAATTGTTGGCTTCTTCCTTTTTAATCCAGTTGCCAAATGGTGTCTTTGATGAGGGAGTTAAGTCTGTTGACATTCAGTGTTCAATATTGATAGCTATGTGGTGATTTCTGCATTTAGTTGTTTTTGTTGTTGTTAAGAATTTGAATTGTGTGTAATTGAATCAATACTACACTGATTGTGGTTGTTCTACTGTGGTTTTGATACTTCCCATCCTCTTGTGGTTTTGTTTGTTTTGTGTGTAGAATTCCTTGTAGAAATCCTCTGTAGTTGGTGGCTTGGTGGTCATATATTTGTTTTAGTTTCTGTTTATCATGAAAGATTTTAATTAATCCATCAGTTGAGTGATAGTTTTGCTGGATAGAGTATCTAGGGTTGAAATTATCATTTAGTGCCTAAAATACCTCACTCCATGCCCTTCTTGCTTTTTAATGTTTCAGTTGAGAAATCTGCTGTTATTTTATGGGTTTACCTTTATACATTATTATTGTTTTTTCTCTCTGACAGCCTTCAATAATTCTTTCCTCTGTTCTCTGTGTTTGTGTTTTAATGATAATATGCTGTCAAGTCTATTTTGGTGTCCTGGAGGCTTCCTGTATCTGAGTGGGCAAAACTTTCTCAAGATCGGAAATTTTCTGTTATTATTTTATTGAATATATTGCATATCCTTTGATTTGCATCTCTTCTCCTTCTTTAATGCCCTTGATTCTCAGGTTGTGGTCTTTTGATGGAGTCACTGAGTTCTTGAATGTTCCTTTCCAGCTCTGAGTTGTTTGACTAGATATCTGTTTTTTTCTTTATTTCTGTTTTATCTTCAAGCTCTCTGAGATTCTGTCTTGCCCTTGTTGAGTCTGCTGGAGTGGCCTTCCACTGTATTTTTTGTTTGACTAAAGGGACTTTTTATTTCAGGATTTCTGTTTGACTCTTTTTTTCTGAGGTTTTTCCATATCTTTGTTCAACTCCTCTTTTATATTTGTGTTGTCACCTTTAATTTATAGATCCCTTTTAGCGCATCCTTTGTTTCACTTTGTGTTTGTTAGAGTCCTCTCTGAGTTCTTTGTTTCTGTGTCCTTCTCAGGCCTTTATTTTTGGTGTCTTAAATTTCTTGAGAGCATCTTGTACATTCTTGTTAACCATGTTCTAGTATCTTGTCCATGAATTTCTTGGTGATATCTTCCCAAAATTTCTTCCTGGAGGTTTTTATGTGGGTGTCAACTGGGCTCATTAGTGGCATTTATCATTGTTTGTTGAGGTCTGGAACTGGGTATCCATTTTCTTTCATTCCCATTGAATCCTGCATGAATTGTTTTTTTGAGGAGAGTGTTTTCCATCCCTTCCTGTTCCCATTGCTCCACTTGGTGCTGTGCAACTATGTTTTTAATAGGCTAGATGGTGGTTTGATTGCCTGATTTCTTGTCACTGATTTAATTTTGTGTTGTGACTCTCTTGGTGTTAGCTAGGTTGATGTGTCATTCTGTTCCTAGCCTGGAAGGTGTAATTAGCAATAACAAATTTACAGTTCAATGCCAGACCAGTTGTTTTACATATTATATAGAAAACCTCTTGATGAATATCTATAAACTATGGGAGGGTTGGGGCAGGTAATAGTTATTAGGCTAGTTATAGATTTTGGGGAATTGGCAAAGGTGGCATTAAAAAGGGGAAGGGGGATTAGGGAAAGAGGTATGGGGGCTGCTGGGTTTGTGGCCCTTTGTGTGTTTGGGTGTATTTCTGTTGTTGTAGTGGAGGGTGCTGTGTCAGGATTGCAGGTTGGCTGGGTTGTTACATTTGCTAAACAGTAGCTAGTCAGTGGGTGGTGAATGTCTAGGAGGGAGGTGTAGTGTGGGTGATAGGCTGGAGGAGGACAGGAGGGAGGGTGAAGCAGGAGAAAGAGTGGATAAAGAAGGGGCAGAAAGAGTAGTTGGGAAGGGAAAACAATGGATTATAGCACAGGAAAAGGAGGGAAAATGAATGGGGTAAGTATAGGGAAAGAGAATAGTGATGGAGAAGTTAATAATACAGGAATAATAAAAAGAAAAAGAAAAACCATAAAAAACACAAGTTCAGGAACCACAGAAAGTTCAGTCTTTTGGTAAAAAGTTCTGGAGTTAATCTTTAGTGTCCAATCCTGGTATTGGCATACAAGTGGAAGCTCTGATGTAGTCTCACCAGGTGACTGGCTTGCAAATAGTATTTGGTTCCTCTGTCCACAAGATTAGCTGGATTGTGAGGTGAGGTAAGATCACCAGCTCATGCAAGGTGGTCAAGCTGTTGTTTTTCAACAGGCTGCAGCTGCATTTGTCCTTCAGCTGC